ATTAAATCAGTATAGAAAAATTGTTAAACATCGATAAACAATTAAATTAACTATTCAATACTCAACATGCATGCTTACTGTTTAACTTCATGTTGTTTCATTACTTAGCATATTAATGTAATCATGCTTCCAAGTATTTTTATATGTCCATAACAATTATTTAGATCATTCATCGCAATTTAAACAACTTAAGAATACTCCAAATGGCCAAACAGAACCCAAACCACGGAAATACAAAAAAACTGAAGAAGGAGTCGCCCCCTTACAAAGGGAGCCGACTCTCCCCTTAGTGGAGCCGGCTCTCCCTCATGGGGAGCCAGCTCTACCTTTGATTATAGAGAGCCGGCTCCCTCTCTTATAGAGCTGGCTCCTACCTTTAGAGAGCCGACTCTCTCTTCCTGAGAGCCGTATACTGAATCTGATCCTCTTCTTTGCCTCCGGCGATGTGTAGAACCCTCTGTAATGTTTTATTAAGATTCCTAGGGTTCAATCTATGTCCCGAATTAATTATAAGAAGTTATTATGCATCACCAACATGAATTAAAACAAGTTTATAATCAAGGAAATCAAGATTAAATCAAGAACATCTATCAACCATAAAACAGTTTTAATTCAACACAATTAAATTAAATTCAAGCATGCTTAATAGATCAATTTTAACGTCCATTTAAATTCTGGAGACTACCTAGGCATGCACAGAATACAAGTCTAAAGGAAAGAGTTAGAATATGAACTTGACTCTGATTTCAGTTTTGAAACCTTAAACCTTCTTCACTGATAAATCCGATGACCTTGGTTGCTTTTACAGACCTTCCGTTACTCCTGGTTCAACCCCAAGCAAACTTCAACCATCCCTCCTTAGTTCAACCCTTGTTCCTAGCCAAATCTTAATTCTCCCTCTCAGTTCTCTCTCAAACCTTTCTGTTCTTTCTCCCTGCCTCCACTGTTTGTGAATAGGGTTCTCAAACCCTTTGTAGACACATAACGATATATATATACATATAGGCTTTTATGAAAACCTAATTCTAATTCCAAACCAATTACAAGTCGGCTAGCCTAACCCACGTGATTTCATAAATATATATAAAACCCTAAACCTATAACTATACATATAATAACTAATGATACTAATTTATAACATTTACTCAAAACAAACAATTTATTTAATTGCCACATGAGCATATAATAATGAAAGCAAATAATGCAATTAAATAATTAAACAAATAAGCAAATAATCAATTAATCAAATAAAAATATAATAAACCAATTAATTAAAATACCGAAACTTTTGATTACACAATTTTACTAAAGTAATGAGAACGTACTCTTTATAAAAAAAATTCCATGGTTCACTAATTAAGAGGAAAATAATAATTTGGGTTGAAAACTTGTTACATGAAAACCATTCAATAAAATCATTGCGTATGTATAAGAACACAAATATTTCGAGAGTATGAAGTAATGTAGTGATCGAAATTTGTGCAAAATTGCTAAAATATATATATGCGGGTGAAAGTTTACAAAAATATTTCATATTCTTCATTCATTTGGAACAATTGTTGCTGAAATTAAAATGTGTGAAATAGCATAATAAAAAATGTGCAAACCTCCTATAATGCAGGTGAAATTTGCCTAAAATGTGGGTGAAACAAGTAAAAATATGGCTTCAAAACCAACCACAAAAAGAAGAAAACAGTAGAATATCTTCTTTTGAACCAGTTTGTGTGGTGACCCGATATCATAGGCAATGGAAAATGATCGATGGTTCAGAAACCTCAAACCACCACAACAACATTGAATTACATAACAAGTTAACAATCAACTCCAATATTCAAATAACAAACCCTACATTGATGGTTAGGTGTAAAGAAACACTATCCTCTAGGTCTTTTCTTCTTCTTCTTCTTTTTTTTTTTTTCAATATGCAACATGTTCACACATTATCTTGGAGACATGATTTCAAACGTCCTCAACAAAGCTAGAATGAAAACAACCATCACTTAATACACCCACCAACACTTAGCTAGCCTTTTAACATGTAAGTCCACAATTACAAAAAAATAATAATAATAAAAATAAAATAAATAAAAATACTAAGTCAATATTAGGCTGACTGTAAATTCCCATACACTTCAGAAGTCATGTATATGCTTAATATACATACAATGGAAAAACCTACATATCATCCATTTCATATTACAAGGAAATAACAAGGGTGTTATCTGGGTTTTGATTCAAAAAAAGAAATAAAAAGGTAAAAAAGTGGGGTTTTTCATGGAACGAAAATGGAATGAGGGTGGAATTAGGGTTTTGATTCAAAAAAGAAATTAAAAAGCAAAAATAGAAGTACGTATACTTTTAATGGAACCAACCAGAAGGGAAGGAGAGAGGAATTACGTGGTGGTGGTGGCGATGGTGAAAGGTAGTGGAGGCAGCGATGGTGTGACGGTTGAAGGCAACAACAATGCTGGTGGTGGCAGTGATGGTGGTGGAAGGCAATAGAGGTGAAATGCGGAGGTAGATGTAGTGAAGGTGATGGTAATGGTTTTTGAACTTGGAACATAAGAGTTTTTTAAAAAGTTTATTTTTTTAGAAAAAATTACTTGGGAATGGAGGCCATTTCATAGGTTTAGTTGTGGAATAGATTTTCATTCTCATGAATGAATTTTCATTCCAATTAAATGAAACAAATGAATGGTTGGAATGGGCATTTCATTTCATTCATTTTCTGCACATCAAATACACACCAAATACAGGATTAAGATTTGTTTGATAATCATTTTTGTTTCATGTGGTAGTGTACTGTAGTGAAGCAAAATATTGCAACACATGGGAAACACCAAATTCTTAATTATTTCATCCTCAGCACAAAGACTGTGGTAGTGAACAGTACCAAAATAAAAAATGAAAATAATAATAATAATAACAACAACAACAACCTTTTTCTACCAAACATGCTTTTGAAAATGTAGAAGTAAAAGTTAGGTTACCAAATATGATTTCAATTACAAATGAACATACACCATAAAAAATAAAAAAAATAAAAAATACATATATATATATATATATATATATATATATAATATAAAAAACAACCTTAGGTTATGTTTAGAGTTGGAATTGGTGAAATTAGAAAAAAGTAAATTCAGAAAATTGAAACAAAATTTTATTTAATTCCACCAAATCTGAGTGTAAGGCTCAAATTTCATGCAGCTAAATATAACCTTATTTCTGTTTGAAATGAAAACAGAAACACAAAACTGAAATGGTTGGCAAATAAACTATTAACGAGTTTAAGAAGTTTATTTGTTATTCTAACCTTGGAAATCCCACTAGAGTTTTGTATAACTAACATAATCTTCCTTCAAAGGCAATCTCAAAATGCAAATTATCTCAAAAGGATTGTTACAGTTCATTAATATTGGTTCCTTACATGGCATATATCCAACCTGGCTGCTTATATTTTCAATTCCATCTACTGACCTTTGGTGGGTTTTCCGACACAGCTTCTGGTTTTTGGGAGTGTTATTTGTGGTCTGTTTTGCTCCGCCAGTTTTATTGGTTTTAGTTCTCAAAATGCTGAAGTACATGAGAAGTCTGGTTCAGGTTTCAATTCTGGCTTCAAGCTTTGGTTACATGTCTGGCATGAGTTTGAAGCCACGTTCTTCCTTTCTTAGAAACTTCCACTCCCGAATCCCGATAAGAGTTTAGCTTCTCCTTGGTGCTATATTGATTATACGTACTTTTAGGCTCAATATTAGTTTTGATGTATTTTTTACTAGCTGCGGTGATCACAAGCTTCCTTTCCATTTGTTCTTAGAAATACTGGATTTCAAACCTTCTGTATTTCTTATTTTGACATAGGGTTAAGTGCAGAAAATATCTTTCTACTATGCTTTCAGTAAATATCACATCCTTCACGTGTACAAAATACCCACAAAGTATTGATTTATTACAAATAAATCGCAACAAACATTATGATATGCCCAAATTACCCTAACTGAAAATTTTTACATATTATTTTTTTTAAAAAAAGGTCTTTAATTTGTGTGTATTTTGTTCAATGCACACGATGATATGTAATTTTATATATACACACACGATGATATGTGATTTGCGTATGTTTTGTTCGATTAAATCTTATTTGATTTATACATGTATAAATTTATAAAAAAATATGAATTAATTTATAGATATGATGGTGAAAGGAGAGACTGTTGGTCAACATAAACTTCATATCATAACAAAAAGTTATTAAAGTCTATCTTATTTGTAATTAGGATCTAACCAAAATGTTTCAGCACAAGAAACAAACATTATATATACAGAGAAAAACTTCAAAATTTGATTAAATATAGTTGATGGGCATACAACGCCATTCTACTATGAGAATATATATAATACACATGCCCTTGAACATTTCAAAAGTTTAAAAGGGCAAAACATACATTATAAGATTACTTTATGTTAGAGACTTGCAAAAATTAATTTGAGAGATGTTTCAACACACTTTTTAAAGATTAAGGGAGATAAAAGCACACTTATTAAAATAGGAAGTGAAAGTGGTATATGAAATATATTTTAAGGGTATTTTTCGCACTTAACCATTTTGACATGTTTTGGGGGTCGTTTTGATCTTAGTATTCCTAGATCTATCAATTCATAGGATTTTAAGTCAAAAACGATAACCAAATATGCATTAAAACGTTCAATTTGATCATCCATGAATGAAACCAGATATGCATTAGAACATTCAATTTGAACATCCATGAATGACCCTGATAATCCATTAATTAAACAAATTAGATATGGACTTTAGTGGACCCGATGACAGTGTTACCTACAGAATCATTCAATTTGGGTAGGGAAGCGTATTTTGACTTTCCTAGCCTATGCCTCTATTTAAGTGACAGTGTTACCTACATAATTACATATTACAGTGTTACCTACAGAATGAAGATTGAAGTTGAAACAGTGTTACCTACAGAATCATTCAATTTGGGTAGGGAAGCGTATTTTGACTTTCCTAGCCTATGCCTCTATTTAAGTGACAGTGTTACCTACAGAATCACACATTACAGTGTTACCTACAGAATGAAGATTGAAGTTGAAGTAGTCTCCACAGAGACTATCAAGCCATCTACTCCAACCCCTAATCACCTCCGCCACTACCAACTCTCATACCTTGATCAAATATCTCCCCCAGTGTTTATGCCTCTAGTATTCTTCTACCCATTGAATGATACTAATAATACCAACATGGACCTCATCAACCACCACCTCAAGAAGTCCTTGTCGGAGACCTTAACCCGATTCTATCCCCTCGCCGGACAGGTCATGAACAACCTCTACGTAGACTGCAACGACACCGGCATCCCCTACGTGGAAGCCCGAGCCACCTGCCGGCTCTCTGAAGTCGTCCGGGACCCAAACCCGAACGAACTCAACAAGTTGATCCCATATGAATTGGATGACATTAGGGACCTCCCTATGGTCATCCAAGTCACCATGTTCACTTGTGGTGGCATAGCAATTTCTATAGGCATCTCTCACAAGGTTGCTGATGCTTTTTCATTCTTCATGTTTGTCAATAGCTGGGCCGCCATTGCAAGTGCCAATTACGACGACATACCGTCTCCACGGTTTGAGTCGGCCGAGCTCTTCCCACCCAGAAACCTAATCGGCTACGAACCGACCACCGGCATGGTAAAAGAGAATATAGTGACAAAGAGGCTTGTGTTCACTGCCTCTAAGATAGCTGATCTTAGAGACAAATACACTAACGCCACAAGCAAAGAAAACCCTACACGCCCAACCCGCTTTGAGGCTCTATCTGTCTTCATTTGGAGCCGTTTCATGGCCTCCACTCGAGCAAAAACCGGTGGTCATGCTGACAAGACTTCCACCATGATAATTCATCACACGGTGAACCTGCGCATGAGGTTTGATCCGCCACTACCGGAGAACTACTTCGGAAATATATACTGGCACGCAATAGCAATACCGGCCATGGACAGTAGTAGTACTGAGGATGAGTGTTGTGGCTTAGTGAATTTGATGAGAGATTCAGTAAGGAATATCGATGTCGATTACGTGACACAACTCCGGGAGAATGACAAGCACTTGAACTTCATCAAAGAGCGAGCTGAGAGGTTCAAGAGAGGGGAGGTGGTTTCCTTTAACTTCACCAGTTTGTGCAGGTTTCCTACGTATGAAGCTGATTTCGGGTGGGGAAAGCCGGTATGGGTTTGTTCCGCTAGCCTTACATTCAAAAATTTGGTTTGTTTCGTGGACACTAGATTGGGTGATGGTATAGAAGCATGGGTTAACTTGAAGGAGGAAGAGATGCTCAAATTTGAAGCTGATCAAGAGTTGCTGGCAATGGTTTCCACAGCCCTAGATGATAATACTTCTGGGTTTTAGAGATTATTGGAATTGAATGTCAACTTAGGATGTTGGAAATAAATTTGATTTTAGAATTTTAGTACTCCCCTCTGTCCCAAAATAGCTTCTTTGACTCATAATTAATTAATTAGTATTTTTTATGTATTTGGTATACATATCCATGTGTGCATTTCATGTTAGTGGGGTAGTAAATGGTTTTGATGGAGAAGATTATGTAACCAAGAAGTATGGGAATTAAGCCTCCTAAATTCTATATCAGTGGGAGTTATTAATAGTCATGTTAGCGGGAGTTGTGTCTTTTAAAGATTATATCATTCATATGTAATTAATATATTTTTGTTCTTGGGGTCTAAACTTATTTATTCTAGTAATTTTATGAAGAGAATAAGTTAGAATTAAGTGAAAAAAAATATTTCTTCCTCCAATTCTCTTCCAAATTATTTTGAGGTATATTTGTTTGTTTAGCTCACTCAATGTGTGTTAGGCGTGTAGGGTTTTCTTTGTTTGTGCTGCTAGCTATCTTGGAGGTAGGGACGGAGCTACTTGTAGTTCAGTGGGGGGGCCCACCCTGAATTTTTTATTTTTTATTTCTTTAGCCTTGTTAATTTGATTTTTTTAATTATGCACCCACTGAACTATATGTAGCTCCGTCCCTGCCTCCAAGATAGAAATCACCGTTTAAAAAACATGAACCTAGCACCATTAAAAAAATATGTACCTGGCACGCGACTGATTAAATTTTAAAAATACCAAAATTACCCTTTACTGATTCCCAAAACGCCCTTCTTTTTTGTATATAAATCTTAAAGATAAAAGATATAATAGTAATTTTACATTCATTGAATTTTTATTTTTAATCTTTTTTAAATTGTAAGAAGGTCAGGCATTTTAGTATTTTTATCACCTCATTAACGGCCAATTGACAGGGGGTCCTTATTTGCCCCTACAATAAACGTTATGGGGTTTTCAGAACTTATATATTGGTGGTTATATAAACTATATGTATAATGCAGGGGTGTTAAATGCTCGCGGGCCTATATATATACCACAAGTCTTCATTGATTGTTTGTGCAAACTTCTTGTTCATTTTCTTTGCTTCCATCTTAATCTCCACGGCTAACATGCTCAAGTGACACATTTTACGTTTTTCATTTATGTTTTTTGAACTGTTACTCTTGAAACACACATAAGATATGTGAAATGTAAATTTGTATTTTAGAAAATTTCGTTGTCAAAACGAGTCCGATTGATTTGTAAACTTTTGGTTTGATTTGTCAAAACTCAAGATTAGAAGTGGAATTAAAGAAGTTCAAGTATTCATACTTCGATACACTCCGGGATAATGAGAACAACGTTTTAGAAATGTAAGAGAGTGTGTGAGGACACTTGGGAGATTCAAAATTAGGTTTTTGGAAGTTTTTTCATTATGCCTAACTTGAACTAGTTCAAGTTTTTGCGGAACAGGTTTAACTTTTGATGAAATACTCCATGTTTAAGTCTGGCCAACTTAAACCTGTTCAAGTTACTCATGAACCGGTTCAAGTCCCTTAGACCATTTTAGAAACTTTGTTTCCATGTCTGTTTTGGCCTTTTACTTTGGACAGACTCTTGCTATAATGAACATGCACGAAATTGACTTGTTTTCCAAATATAATTAGGTTTTCAAAAGTCTATATATATAAATATGTTTTCTCACTTAGGGTTTTACCGTTTTTTGCATACAGAATTCTGATTTTTTTAGAATCACCTTTGAGAGATATTTTTTTTTCAGAAAATCAAATCTGGTTTTTCTAATTTTCTTTTTTAGAGCACACACATATACACATGAGTAATTTAGGAGTGGTGTTCTCTATCTAATTGGAATTGAAACATAATTAGAGATTCAGAAATTCTGAGAAACATAATTTTAATTGTTCTTCGTCAAATTCAGAATTGAAGAAAACATTTTAGTCTTGCCTCCTTTACTTAAAGTTTATATATATATATATAAGTCCCGTACTCTTGCTCCCGGAACCACATTAAAAAGCTGAAAACCACCCATATGTATACATATTTATATATGCACACGCACACATATACATGCGGAGCGAAGTCAGACCCATCAGGGACAGAGCCATGTACACTTCAGTGGGGGCAATTGTCACCTCTAAAAAAAAAATTCCACTATTTTATCATTCTGATATATGTACTTAAAGAAATATTACTTTTATCCTCTGAAATTATTTTAAAAAATTAATATTACCCCCTCTCACTTGAGTTTCTGAATCTGTCCCTGTGAGTACGATCGTTATATTGCATGTATATACTTTAATTACTCCAAGTAAATATATGAACCAATAGCAATCCATGTTGTAGCAGTTTTTTATTAAAAGGTATTTTTAGCTTTATGGATAAGCAGGAGGTTCTTGCCTAGGTGATTGACTATGATTTGTGAAAGAGAGAGTCCACAAGCATTCTGCACTATAGCTGCATGCATGTGCTCGATCATGCAACAAGTATATCCATCCATATGTTTGGTAATAATAATTAGAATATATATATATATATATATATATATAATTTGTGTTTGTTTGAAATGTTAAAAATATATACATAGAATTTTGTCTTGTATATCTATGTACTCTTTCGAGTGTCTTGTTTCGGAAATTGTGACTCTTAAAAAATGATTATTAGATTGATCCCAAACCTTTGATGAGATAGGAGCCACATTCAGATTATCAATGCATTAAAGGGATAAAAATCCATTCACTCATTTCATACCGCTATATATACTGAATCTGAGTCTGGACTGCATATAACATTTCAGATTGCAACTTCAATAAATGGCCGAATAATCTGAAATAAGTTGCTATCTTCAACAATTTTATCATTAAAATTTTAAGAATTGAGCGTGAAAGGTATTGGATATTATATACAGAGATAAAATTAATTAGAGATTGACATCTAAATTTTTTGAGTAAGCTTCACAGGGCTCTCATTTTGAGTATTCTTACCCTCTTAGCCATTGAATTGAAAATTTAAGGGGAAATTTTTCTTTATGCCAAATAACATACTCACATAAACCCGCACCAAATTTTTTTATCTCAATAGTTCTTGTAGAGATACAATGTGATGTATATATATAATATATACACAATTTGTTGTAGATTTTGTACAAATCAAATTCTTATATTTGAGTACCATGAAACTTGAAAAAAAAAAAAAAAAAAAAAAAAAAAAAATTGATACAACAATAAATGGAAAACTAAAAAGATAAATAAAAGTTACTATGAAAAACTAAAAAATAAAGAAGGAAAAATAGACATATTTTATGAAAACAAATAAGAGTAGTAACAAGACTGTTAAAATTTTAGAATAATTACGTCATATTTTATCTCTGTTGATTTTAAGTCCGGTGTTAAAGTAGTCATTATTATTATTTTTTTAATAAAGATACAAAGAAAAAAAAAAAGAAAAAAGAAAGGCGTAACAAATCAATGCCACGTCTTTCAAGATAAAAATCATGAAATCCAATTCATGATAAAAATCATGTAACCTATTTCTATTTAAAATCAAAAGTGATAATTTTATTTTTTTATTTATTTTAAATACCACCTTTATGACATTCCAGAGGATTTAGGAACGGAGGAGGAAATAAAGGCTTGTATAAGAGCCTTAAGAGGTGTATAATACTTTTAATTATAGCTTTATGTGCATGAGAAAAGTCTTTTTTTTTTTTTAAGGGGTTTTAAAGTTACTCAAATTTTCTTATCATGCAATGTATTATAGTAACTGTCTTTTTCCTATTCAATTTTGTCTTCAAGTTGAGATGCTATACTAATGTGGGTTGTGGGACCCACTAACTGTGAGAGAATAAGGAGAGTTGAATTGGACTCTCTCTATCACATTTGGATAAAAGGTCTAAATGAAAGTTGGTGAAAATTGGAATGCTATCTTAAATTTATAACCACTCTTGTTACTATCCATCTGGGGCCATTTAGGAGGTCCTGTTGAACCTAACTTGGAACTCTAAAGTTAATTAAAAATATTTGATTAGAAAAATGATATTATACAATGCTATACTGATGTGGAATTGTTTACGTAGCTCACTATTTATGAGAGAACAAGTCGAATAGTTTAATCAGATTCTCTATCACAATTCGATCAAAGATTTAAATGAAACTAGTTGAAAGTTGGAATGCCATCTTAAATTACTCTTGTTACTATCAATCTGGGGCCATTTAGGAAGTCCTAACCTAACTCGAAATTATAAAGTTAATTAAAAAATATTTGATTAGAAAAATGATATTATATGGAGGGACACAACAAACGTTAGAGAGTTGCCTTCCAATTGAACCCTCTTTAGCAGCTCAATCAATTATTTTCCTCCCTCATAAAAGTTTGTTATCCGTACTTGTACCTGTCCCAATTGTTGTTGTCAATGATATCATGTCTCCAATGTTAATTGAAAGGCCAAATATGTTATCTACTGTTATGATTGAAGTGATTGATCTTAAATTTGGTAGTCGGATGAAATGCATCTCTAAGAACCACAAATGCTCTTTGAAGACTTCAACCTTCATTTCGTAGCCCACTCTTAGCACTGTCATATAATCCAAGTTATAGGATGTTTCTTAATGGATACCGCATTTCGCATGTTCTTACTCATTTTTATTATTTAAGATTTAATTTTATTATTTTTGCACTTTCGTTTTTGTTTCCGCTTCACGTGACTTAACATATAATTGAACCAATTGTTACTCCTCAGGTGGATTTTATAGACTGTAGTAAAATTAACATTGTTTTACGTCTTACGTAACATAGTAAATCTTACTGTTGATAATACTTATTTGTATTTTTTATTTATCATATTATCTGTTTAACAATTATTTTTCAAGAAGATTCTCCTTCACATTGTTAGAATATATTATTGCATAGAATATATTCATATACATATAAAGTTTACTTGTTCATCACACATAACCCCTCCTATATAAATTCCTCTTGTATACATCTCATGTATCAACACAATACAAACTTTTATACTCTCTTTTATATTTCTAACATGGTATAAAGCCTCTCGATTACTGGTAATAATTTTATCAGTTTATCGTAGTCACTGCCGGAGATGGTACCATCAGCCCCATCCCTAGCGGTGGTCAAAAGTATTATTGGGCCTCCCAATCAGCCTCCAAGACACATCAATGGTGTCAACAGTAGTACCACGTCACCTGCCACATCAGTTGCCATGTCAGACACAATCAGCAATGGTGCCCGCAGTAGTGCCACGTCAGTTGCTAATCGTGTCTCCATCTTCATCATAGGTGAAAACCCATCTTCACCAAGTTGTTTCTGCCATGTCGCTTGCAAGATCTCATTTCCAAACTTAAATGATTTCATTCAATTCACCTTGATTTTGAGGGACTCTTATAATTTATTATAGAATATATTATTGTTATATTATAGAATATATTCTAATCATATATAAATTTACTATATAGAGTTTAAGTTTCTTACTTTCCATACATCTCATCACATTTATAAATTCTTATACAGTTTCTCTGTTTTGTATTTAACACACATAATACGTAGTATCATTTAAGGTAGGACTTTTCAAACCAAAAATTTTAGGTGAGTTTCATTAATGAATAAATGGATGGCATGCCTAATTATCTTCACAATTTTTTTTACTTTTTATTTTTTGAAAATCGTTATTACTCAACATTTATGGGAACTTGACTTTGTTATAGACTCTCTCTTTTCCTCTCCACACTTTACAGGGTCAAACGACAAGTGCGTAGTTCAAAGTCCAAATCCAAAACCAACCATATGCTTTTATTGTTACTAGATGTGGTTGGTAGATGATGATCCTCTTCAATGCAAGTTTTTTTTTTTTTTTTTTTTTTTTTTCATGTCAAATCAAATGTATCGTTTTAAGTGTTGCACAACCTCGCTTCAAAACGCTATAAACCTTTTCAATTTTTTTTTATTTTAATTTTTAATATTACATGAACTTCACTTAGTAAAAAATATATAAATAAATAAATACTCTTATCATTTCCCTATTTCGAAAAAAGGTGAACTTCCTTTGTGAAAAGAAAAAATTATTAGATACATGGGATGTACCCAATAATATCACACTCTCATTCAATAAATACTCATAATTATCCTTTTTATAAGAAAAAATTACCTATTATTAAATGTAGCCACTATTTTTTTTAAGTAGATGTAAGCCCTCTAGTGTCTAGGGTGCGCTAGACATGTGTCCAATTAATCAAAATGTATAATTTAAGTTGGTTGTTGGTTTCATATATTGGTGATGCATTGTGACTGATTACGCATTCTAATAATGCAGTATACTCAATGATCCATTGATCTTCTCATTTTATAAATATTCAAACGTATTAAAAAATTTTGAATAAATTACACAGACGCTTTTTGAGATTTGAAGTAATGTCACTCAGTAAATAGTCAATGCACTGTTTATATTAACACGGCTGAGGTTTCAAGTACCATCAAACACATCCTTCCATATTACTGTAATATCAAAAAATAACCAGTATGCCATTTGACTTTTCAACAATCACTTTTAAAATGACCCATTTAACCTTCTTAACTAATGCCAAAAACTAGACCACCGCCGCCGCTATACACAGAAATTATATACATATATAATACAACACATATATACACTATAATATGCACCAAGTCAAACATCCCAAAACACATACATACATAAATTGCCTTGCAACCTGGTTGTGACGAAGTGTATTGTTGGTTTTGGTAATGGCAGGGATATTATCGTAAACTAACATTATTGATATTTTGTGAATATAATTGAATTAAATAATAAGGGGCAAATATGACATTTGAAATTTGGTGTCAATGTAATTATCTAAACAAGTACATTAATAATTCGCTGAGTGGCATTGAACCAAATCTCAACAAATATCGATGCAATTTATCCATAAATTTATTTGATGAAAGGATTTTGGACTCGTGTATCAGTTGAGATGCCTACAATGTGATGCATCACCAGAACACAATCTAGGTCTATAACTTTTTTATGTTTTCGGATTTTTATTGAAAAGAATGAATATCTAAACTTAACCTTGTTAAACGAGCATTAATATCAAAAGGATAGTACCCTTAAAACGTTACTTCAAGGCTATGCACGATTATATATATATATATATATATATATATATATATATATATATATGGAAGAGAAGTCCACAAAAGAACTGTCAAGAAAACCTTATCACTAGCTAAGGGGAAAAAAGTAGTCATCTATTTATCAAAAAATAAAAATAAAGGTATTCATCTAGTTGATCTCCTGATTTTGTTTCGACCACCAACAACTAAAATATTAGCAGTCCACTGTGAGAGTCAAAAAAATGTAATTTTGAAATACTAAGCGAAAGTTTTCAACTGAAAAATGCATGAACCACCAGTTAAAGGACGTGACTTTTATTTATTGAATCATTTCTGATCAAAATGGATTTGCTCGAGTCCAAAACAGGTTCGTCCAAAGTAGAATGACAAAAATTATGTTAATTAGTTCAAAAAGTCTACATACAATAGTCTAATTATTACTGCAAAACATATGGCTCTGATATATATATTACTCGTTGCACGGGAACAACCACAGTGAAAGCTCGTACGTGTACTCGTTTCTTTCACAAATCTTGGTCAATCACCTACCTAAGAACCTCCTCCTTATACCCAAGGCTACAAGTACTCTTCACTCAAAAGCTGTTACAACGTGGATTGCGCATACATACATATATATATATATATATATATAAATCTACACACATCCATGCACTACAAGCTTTGAATGCTTGTGGCTCTCCCTCTTCATTTTTTTTTTTCTCTCTCTCTCTACATGTATCATTCTCTTTTGAGATTTTAAAACTATCTTTTTATAAAAAATTGGAACTATCAAAAATAAAAATCAAAAGAGCGAAACGTATTTTGGAAGGATGGGGTACGTCCCACAAAATAAATAAATTACTTTTTTTATTTTTGGTTGTTTCAAAATAATTGTTCCAATTTAAAATCTAATATACTAATTTTATTATATTTTTAATTTACCCTCCGAAATTATTAAAGCAATGACCTCATATGATTCACCATATAAGAATACATATATTTAAAAATGATAATACTTAGCTACTCACCGATTAGTAGTTTTATCCTACTTATCCTTTGTGTGCTCCAATTATAATTTATCACATCAATTTTAATAATAAAATAATTCACATGTATTTTCTCGGATCAACTATTTAAAAAACGTGAGTTATTTTTTTATTAAAACTGATGTGATAAATTGTTATTGAAACATAATGAGTAGGGTGAAGCTACTCACTAATGAATAGCTAAGCATTATTTATTTAAAAATTTACTCTTTATTACATTAACTCCCGAAAGGAGGTATTTTTTTTTTTTTATATAGGATGGAGGGAGTATTATTTTAGTGGGTGATGGATCAAATCAACTAAAGCTAAAGACCAAAAAATCTCTCTCCTCAATTACTAAATTACTTTTCTCAGTGATAGGACGGAGGAGTTGACAGTTTGCTTCTATATATGGAGTTGGACTATACAACGGATTGACATTGGATTATTGATTAGATTTTGTTTTTAAAAGTTAACAAAAATGTCATTGTTAGGCTCTATTTATTAGACTAACAACAAAAACTAATAGATTTTTACAACAGTACTCAGATAGAATTTATGGAAGGCGAGAGTTTGATCTTCGATCATTAATTACAGTGTATTGGTGACAACATTATCCTAATAAAAGAGGGATCAAGTACATTTTGTTGGTTAAAATTGGAGGAAACAGTTTTCAAATTTAAATTAAGAAGCAAGTGTTGTGCCGTCAGAGTGGTTGGGTTGTTCCCCAAGCTTTAAAGCTTGTGTTCGAATTTTGTACCCTTCTCCTTTCTACTAACCACCAATGTACCCCTATCATTCTTGCCATGAAAAAACAATTTAAGTCAAGAATACTTAATGTGCCGCTGCCTTACTACCAACAGCCACGAGAAGTTTCATAATATTTTAGAAATATTTTAAGTATTCATCTCAATCAAAACTCTCTTGTTTTCTTCAATGAATGAAGGAGTGGGAGGGTTGCCACTTGTCATAATACTCTAGGATATTGCAGAATTTATCGGAATCAGCGTTTATTTTTATTATGTGTGCACACAAAAATTGCCAACCTCGTCTATTTAAGGAACACTCGTAACCATTACTTTAAGTATAGTGGTACCTAGAGATTAATTACATAAACTTCTCGTCGGTACTCTTAGATCAAAATGAAGATCGAAATTGAAGTTGTCACCACAGAGACCATCAAGCCATCTTCTCCAACCCCTAATCACCTCGGCCATTACCAACTCTCATTCCTTGATCAATTAGCTCCCCCTGTGTTCATGCCACTAGTCCTCTTCTACCCACTGGACACCAACACCAAATTCACCAACATGGACGTCCTAGACAAGTCCAACCACCTCAAGAGCTCCTTATCCGAGGCCTTAACCCTATTCTATCCCCTCGCCGGACGAGTCGTCGACAACCTCTACGTGGACTGCAATGACACCGGCGTCCCCTACGTGGACGCCAAAGCCGCCTGCCGGCTCTCTGAAGTCGTCCGGGACCCGATCCCACACGAACTCAACAAGTTGATCCCATATGAATTGGATGACATTAGGGACCTCCCTATAGTCATCCAAGTCACAATGTTCACTTGTGGTGGCATAGCAATTTCTCTAGGCATCTCTCACAAGGTTGCTGATGCTCTGTCATTCTTGTATTTTATCAATAGCTGGGCCGCCATTGCGCGTGGTGATTGCGACATACCATGTCCACTGTTCGAGTCCGCCGCGCTCTTCCCGCCAAGAGACCTCACCGGCTTCAAACCGAGCACCGGCATAGTAAAAGAGAACATAGTGACAAAAAGGCTTGTGTTCACTGCCTCTAAGATAGCTGCTCTCAGAGACAAATACACAAACACCACAACCAAACACTGCCCCACACGCCCAACACGCATTGAGGCTCTATCTGCCTTCATTTGGACCCGTTTCATGGCCTCCGCTAGAGCCAAAACCGGCCATGATGACAAGACCTACACGGTCCTCCACGCGGTGAACCTTCGAAACAGATTTGATCCGCCATTGACAGAGAATTACTTCGGGAATATCAGCCGGCACGCGGTAGCATTTCCTTCCATGGACAGTACTGAGGACGAGTGTCATGGGATAGTGGATTTGATGAGGGATTCGTTAAGGAAAATCGATGGGGATTTCGTGACAAAGCTCCGGGAGACTGACAACCACTTGAACTTCATCAAAGAGAGAGCTGAGAAGTTTATCAGAGGCGAGGTGGTTACGTTTAGCTTCACTAGTTTGTGCAGGTTTCCGACGTATGAAGCCGATTTTGGGTGGGGAAAACCGATATGGGTTGGCTCTGCTAGCCTTACATTCAAGAATTTGGTTTGTTTCATGGACACGAGGTTGGGTGATGGCATTGAAGCATGGGTTAACTTGAAGGAGGAAGACATGGCCAAGTTTGAAGCTGATGAAGAGCTGCTGACAATGGTTTCCACAACTTCAGATGGTAAAACTTCTGGGTTTTAGAGATTAATTACTTGAATTGGATGACATTTTAGGGTTCTAGTCAAACTGTGTCTGAATTTATGTAATATAACTTTCTTTTGTGTGCGTCTCTTTTTTCTTCGTTGAAAGTGTACAGAATTTTATGTTCTAGTTTTGGGTGTGAAGTTGTAAGTATGTTCTATGTGAATTTTATAAAATTAGACTAAAAGTTGTGGTCATTTGTTGTGGAATTGGATTTTGGAATCGAAAATTGTGAAATTAAAAAGAATTAATTTCACAAATTTTAATTTCAGAACTTCAATTTTATGTAATCAAACACAACTTAAATGTATTATAATTCTGTATGTATATTGTACTTTTTTATTTTTTATTTTTGGGATGAGTTAAATGTGAAAAAATTTATTAAAAATTATCAATAAATCTCTATTAATTACCAAGCGACCTTCTTTTGACACAAATATGAAGGCCAACACAGGCTTACTATTAAGATTTTGTGCAACCCTCTTTGGCTCTCGTGCACCGAAAGGCCGGCATCATTTTGGTGCACAACTGTCCAAACAACAACAACCTTATTTTAAGACAGAAAGAGTATTTATATTGATATGTTTGATGTACAACACCTTTATTTATATTTAGATATATTTTAAGTGAACTTTTTGTTTATTAGGATAAAAGTTCTCAGATTATTGTTTTAGGTATGACCATATGAGTTATATAATTCTTTTTTTTATCCACAAATTATTGAAAACGGATCCTACATGGCTATCTAGGTGGCAAAAGAATTCTATTATGTAGGCAGCAAAAGAATTCTATTTAGCGTGTAGTTGACGTCATCAAGGATAAGGTTGACATCGTCCATTTATATACATTTATAAACTAGCCACAAACTCGTAATGAACACATATATACATCTATAAATTAGCCACAAGCTCATAATAATTTTAAAACTCTCATAATTCGGGTCAATTAGAGAGAAAATTGAAAAACATCTTTCTATCAATTTGTTGACTCTTCTTCAACAAAAATGGTAACTAAAACTCCGTTTATTTGGATCATAAAATATTTAAGAAAAATTAATTTAAAATTTAACAAAAATAAATTATTCATCAATTTTCGACAAGTAATTTTACATACTTTGGTCGATAGACTTGACTTTAACCTCTACGTAGATATTTGCCAAACGAAAAAGTAAAAATAAAAATATATTTTATGTAAAATAAAATATTTTACACGGAGCCTTAAATGAAAGAAATTAAAAAAGGATGTGGAATAAATATATATATATACCAAGGGCCCAGTGGTATCTTTTCTACCTTTTAAAGAGTTTTTTGCAATGAAAAAAATAAAAATATAAAAAAAGAAGAAGAAATACATATATAATTAGAGAGAAGATGAATGAACATTTATGGCATTAATGATGGAAACCACACCCTATATATAGGGCTTGTTTGTGATGTGTTATGATATTATTTTTTTTTATATTGGTCTTAAATTTGGGCTTATATCATGTTTTGGATGACTAATATTGATTTAAAATAGTTTATAACATATCAAATTTTTTGACCAAAATTCATATCACCAAATTTGTAATATTGTGTTTTTTGACACTATAACGGAGAAACTAAAGCAAATTTTTGAATTTTTCAAAACAAATTTTCGTTACCAAACATGTTTCTGATTTTTATCCAATATTTGTGTGAAGAGTAATTGAATATATACATAAATGCAATCCTTTTGCCATCCGAACAGTTAATACCCAGAAGAAACAGCTAATAAGTATGATCTTCTTTTAACTTATTGAATATTTGTGTGAAGAATAATTAATTGATCCAACACTATTCATTAGATGTTTTAAAGTGAATTATTTTTTGAAATGCATTCGATGATTATAAGTGAATCCATTATATTATTGAGTATGAGTATATATTAATTTAAAAATTATTTTTCTTGCAAGACATAAAAATATTTCAATTCTTTATATTTTTTATAGATGATCAATCAAAATCGTTGGGATCAAAAAATTCACTTGGAGTCAAAGTCTTCAAAGGCATTTTTCTTTGTGTGTATGGATGTGATATTAGTTGTTTAGATAAGTAAAGATATGTTTGGGTTGTAATTTTAAGAATAATTTTATATTTTTAAAAAATTAAAAATTATAAAATAAAAAAAATAAAAATTGATTTTTTTTTTTTTTTTAAATATTTTTTATAGTTATTTGAAAACAAAATTATTATTTATTTATTTATTTTGTGGGTAAGTTGGATTTGAAAGATGCCATCAATCAATATTGGTTGCAGACACTTGCCTAAGCCTAAGCATGACGTGGCCAATTGAAGTGGCATTTAGGTCGATGTTGAAATGGGATCAAATGTCTTTCAATCTTTGTTGTTCGTCGAAACGATAAGGCAAATTATAGACTTATAGTGGGTGCCAGCCTGTCCTCGCGGATGGCTAAATGACGCCCGTGCTCTCGGTTGTTGCCAAGTGAATTTCAGACAAAACATTTTTTTCGAAACAAAATTCACTTTCATGCGTTTTGTTTAAGGTATGTTTGCTATGCGTTTTTTTTTTTTCATGTTTTTATTTTTGTCAGACATTGTAATAATGAACGGAATAAAAATTGGTGTTTAAGTCAAATATAGTTTATTTTGTATGATATCAAAACATTTTGTGAACAATAATAAAAAATCGAAACAACAATTTATTATTTTAACATGTTTGAGTACTATACCAACGGATACTGTACCGATCAACAGTAAAAATAAAAATAAAATAAAATAAATTTTTTTTAAAACTTTTAAATGATATTTTTAAATTAATCATTATATTTTTCAAACTTATAATATTTTTTTATTAAACATGTTTTCATATTTTTATTTAAAAAAATATTAAAACAAATAAACTTTACCAAATAAATTTATATCGAAACGTTCTGTAAATAGTGGCAAAAAATCGAAACACCAATTTGGTGTTTTTAGAAATTTCAACAGTGTAATAACGGGTACTGTAGCGATGAACCGTATTAAATGACATTGCTTTTTTATAATAATAAAAAAAAAAATCTTAAATGACATTTTAAAATTAACCATTATTTTTTCAAACTTACAAAACTTTTTTTCTTTTTTCTTTTCTTAATTGGTACGCGCACACACATACCTCCGTTTAGACTTAAGCTCCTGACTTCTTTTTAAAAAGTAGGGACCTGAACTAGGCCACTGGATGTTGATAACTTATTACAACACTTTTTAACCAAATATGTTTTCATATTTTTGTTTCTAAAAATCTTACAATAAATTAAGGTTAACAAATATGTCTTCAATTACTATTCAAAACAATTTACAACAAAACACGTAACAAATGGACGTTCCAAAACATATTCTCAATTAATATTCAAAACATCCTACAACAAAACATTTTCGAGTTAAAACAAAATGCAAATCAAACATGACCTAAATTAAAATTTTCAATGTTTTTTTTATGTCACCCTTCAAATTTTAAATGTTGGGTTACAAAATAGTTCCAAAATCTAATTTACAATCTCAAGAAAAAATCGGCGGGTCGCATTAACTAAATTCGGACCACAAACTTAATATCAACAAATATAATAATCTTATAGACAAAAGAAGAAAAATGTAGACTTAATCATAATATTCCCACCTAAAGTGCGCATTGTTTGTCCAAATCTAATTATTGCGGGCTTCGATCTGAAGGCATGTTATATATTAACATGCATGACATCTATGAAACTAGCTACATAGTTCACTCATTTCACACCCACTACACTAGTGATTTGTTGTGTGCACGTACACATACATAATTAATATGATAAGTATATATGATCAAGAGTTCATGAATACCTCAGTCTTGTGATTAGTCATGCACATACATAAATTCATAATCCATGTGGTAAGTGTATATTACCAAGAGCTCTTTCATCGATTGTCTGTATTATTTAATAAAGTACATAATATAAAGTTCTTACATGATTTTTTTTTTTTTTTTGACATTATTTAGTGGTCTAATTAATAGAACATTTAATTTTCGGAACAAGCGAATGTAACCGTAAATGATCTGAAAACACATCTATTTTTCCATAAATTTGTATTGCAAAATTATGTACCAAAATACATTTGTATTTTAATAGTAGAACAAAATAACTTAGTTTTGTTATGTTAGACATATTAATAATATAAAGAATGAGAATAGTGTGGTTGGATTCAGGGACGGAGCTAGAAAAAAATTTCAGGGGGCACATTATAGTACCATATATGTATAATATAATGTACATATATATAGAGTGGTGATCTCTTGCTCTCCATGGAGCAATAAAATTTATCCGCACTTTCTATTAAGACCATTAGATCTAATTTAACGATTAGTATAGAAACCCACCTATATTCTTTCCTTTTAATACAAAACTACCATCATTATTTATAGTTTCTAAATTTAATATTTACCAAACTACTAATTACAACAATAAAAAGTAATTACTAAAAAATTATTTATAGAAATCTCTTCACCTCTAAAAATAACGTCTATTTCAAACAAAGACCTACAAGAGTACTACTTTCCCTTTCTCCATACAAATTGAATTTGCAAGTTTTCTACATCCTTTGTCTCCATATAATCATAAGTAAATAAAAATAAATTTTATTTTTTTCTGCACAACACTTCAGTCGCATAAAATTTAATGGATTAAAATATCTTTATTTATTTATTTTTTTTTGTCTCTTGTAATTTTTTGTTTAAGAGAGACGTGATTTCCAGAGGTGAAGAGATTTTAAATTTTTTTTTAGTAATTACCTTTTATTATTGTAATTAGTAGTATTGGTAAATATTAAATTTAGAAACTATAAATAGTAACAATGGTTTTATATTAAAAGGAAATGATGTAAGTAGGTTTCTATAATTACCGTTCGATTAAATCTAATGGTCACTGTAGAAAGTGCGGATCAATTTTCTTACTCCATAGGGAGCAAGAGATCATTACTCCATATATATAAGTCATGAGTATATATATATATATAAAGAGATAATAATATTTTTGGAATGAAATTTATAAATATAAAATATAAGAATTAAGGAAACAATTTAAGATAAAAAAATATGAAATATATATAGAATTCTACGGAGAATGAGAAAATTTAGGGGGGCATTTTTCATATTTTCATTAAAAATATATATATTATATATATATATATATATATATATATATATA